TCCTTGTTGAATCTTGCTTTGGCCAGTGGTGTAAAAGTTATACACGTCGCTAGCCTAAAAGAAGTTGAGTTGAAATGATTCCCTTACTTTAATAATAATAAAAAATTATTAGCCTCTGTATATCATCTTCATTTCAAGTTATTTGCATTTGAGACACAGGTATAACAAAAATGGGAAATACAATATTTAAAAATATCTGTTTATACCTTAGCAGTTGCCTGTTTTTTCTTTTGAGATCTAACTGACGTAAGCTGTTGAAGATGAATGGCCGCATGCTTGATAAACTGAACGTAGCTTCGATAAAAATATGAGTCTGTATTTCATATTGTAATCGGGCGAGTCCATGTTTATGCTCCACTGGGAAACCCAAGGCTCGTATTTCTTTGTTCAATTCTACATTTTCGACTGAGCAAGAAAAACATTTTCCGAATAAATAAAAATTTATAAATTCATAAAAAGCAGCTTCTTTTTCCTTTTATGATTATGATAGAAATGATAGATCTGTGCTGAACTCACGTTTCAGAAAATTTACATTGGGTGGGAATGTCCGATCAATAGATTGAACACATAATGTCGTGAATCGTTAATACAATAATACCCTCGCATTCAGACACTGCTGCGTTCGATTTCCTCGCCTGCGTCATTGATTACTTTATGGGGAAGGTTTTTCAACCACTGTCCAGCTTTGTTTAACTAAACGCGAGTATTTAAAATATTTGAGTAATAAGTCGTATTAAATGATAATTCGACAATTATTTTACTAATCCCGTATTCACTTACCAATTTAAGACATTTAAAATGTGTAAGAATCGTCTTTCCGAAATCGATCGACCCATAGACTAACCCATTGTTCAGAAATAGAATTTCTTCTTGAGTGACACGCCCAATGGACGCGTCCAAGTTGACAAAACGGCTAGCCTGCTCGTCGAGCAAATGAACATAATTGGTTGTTACTTATAGATCCAACCAATCATATTCATCGCTCGGTAAGCATGCCTAGCCGCTTTGCTGTCTTGAACTCGCCCTATGTTAGAAAGTGCTTCTTGCACAACTTGATGAAAGGAATTGTCAATCTATTTTGACGTGCAAAAAGCTTGAAAAGTTTGCCAACGAAATTCCCAATCTTGTTGGCAAATCTTTCAAAGGATTCTGACTAAATTCACCTAAAATATATTAAAAAAATGTTTAAAACAAATGTGATTAACAAAATTTTAGCAACTATTATTTTGTTTTTTTTTTTTAATAAAATTAATTTATTTTGAGATTACTTGGAAAAGTGACAAAATTAATATAAAAAATACAAAATCTTAATATTGTTAGATATTGATAAATATTACCATAAAAAGAAAAACATTTAAGCAAAAATAATTATTTCTACAATTCTAAGTGAGATGTAAAGAGAATTACCTTGGATTTTTTTTCTGCTAAATCTCGTACTTCGCTGATTTCGTGCGTCGTGATGCGTCGCCGGACATCATCCGTGACCAGCCGGGTATAGAGAAAGAAACAAGGGTGTGGTCATGATGAATAGACGTCTTTCCACCATAGCCATGGGTGCGGTCACGATGCAACACGGTGGAAAGACGTCTTTCCACTACAGCTATGGGTGTGGTCATACGGTGCAGGGTTGGGACAGAGAGAAACTTGAGAGAGGCCATGCCGGCCTTTTTCCTGTTACCGTTGGAATAGCCCGTACACTACCGCCAGTACATCCATTTTCAGTTTGGGAACTACATGACTACAGTGAGAGCAAAACGTATTCGTACAAGGAAATTTGCCATAAAGAAAGTCTTATTTGTAGAAAATAAATATTAATTAGCAATTTTATACAATGAATACAGTCTGTTCTAACATAAATAAACGAGCTTCGCACGTATTCCTGATTTTAGAAGCTATAAATTTCTCGACTCTCCTTGCTCTCCTGAATTTCTCTCTCCTTACTTAGAGGGGTGCGATTTTCGTCGGAAGCGACTCCTATCCCACCTCCCCTCCTTACTTGGGGGCGCGCGACTTTTACCGAGAGCGACTCCTATCCCACCTCCCCTCCTTGCTTGGGGTCGCGCGACTTTCACCGAGAGCGACTCCCATCCCACCTCCTCCCCTGCTTGACTTTCCACGTGAAGCGGGATCTACTCCCCCAACCCCTTATCAAGGGAAAATACTGCTGAAATATGTACTTTATGTTTAAAAATTATGTACTATTCATAAAATTTGTTTTGTTCATAACTTTTTAATGAATAACGAGCGACGGAAAAGGTTAATGACCTTGAACCTTTTTAAGGGTCGGAAGTCATTCGGGACTAGCTGTGTAAAGGGAAAGTTTTTAATTTTATTACCACAATTTTTAATTTTTGCCTATTTTTTAGATGATATATTACCTATAATTAATACACATCTTTTTGGTATATACAATATAATTTTAAGAAACGTACAGTCTATTTTGTTCTTTATGAATAAATTGTTATAAATTACCAAACAAGAAATGACCGTCAATTAAACGTCGAATCGACGTTAAATTTATGTTGAAAACATCATCGTATCTATATCGATTCGACATTAATTCGATGACACATTCTCACTGGATAATATTTACTTTTTAAAAATAAAGTTTCTTTAAAAAATATTTTCTCTATACGCGAATTATACTTTTTGCACTCATTGTACATATATTTTCTGACACTCGATAAAATCGTATTGTCGAAATTGGATGTGGTTCGTGTCCATACTAAATCCTCAGGATAGAAACGTGCCGATTATCCATAAGAGGAATAGTTTAATAGGACCTTGAACAAAGAAATTTTAATTTCGCATCTCCTACACATGTAAAGAAAAGTTGTTGAATTTTAATAAACGAAATTGAAAATTCAAACAAGTTAATTTAGTGAATTTTCGCATAATGTTTCGCACAATGGCTGAAAATACATATTTGCGTCTATTCTATGAATGTTATGACTGAGAAATGTCTAACTGCTATCACATGTTCGGTGTCTTACAAATAAACAGTATGCAAATCTGCTTAACCATATTCATTTAAATTAAAAAGATCCTATTTGGAACTCGGTCCTATTTAGACCACTCTCTATATACATATAGAGAAATCTTACATCATTATTTAAAATTTTATTATTTCTAACAAATAAAGGGAACAATTTTTATGTTTACAGTATTAAAATTTGAATTTCATTAGAATTTGTATCAATATCTTTATTAATACCAATTTCTCATACATAGTAAAAAAACATTTTGTATTTGTGTGGAAAACAGTCCACTCAATTTCTTGTTAAATTTTTGTAGAATTTTTTAACATCTTCCAGTGTTAATTTAATATAATGTGATTATATGTTATTTAAATAATTTGTGATTGTTTTTTAAATAAATTATTTAAATAATAATTAATTACCGACACTCAACATTTCTTAGTGTCAAAATAATACAATTTATGAGTAAGTAAATGAATAACATAAAAATATACATGTTTCAAAACGTAAATTCTAAGATAAATAATTAAAATATGTGTTAATTCAATCATAAATGTTAATTTCAAGAAGAACAATGTGAAAACAATGTGAAAGGGCAATAGGAGTCGGCGCTAGAACTAGATTGCGCAAATTTAACAAATCAATCAAATAAAATGTACGTTTCGGCTCCGATTTGAGCCATCTTCAGCTATAGCTATAATTACATTAAATTATGCGTGTGTAGAAAAAACAAACATCGTTCTCATAATTCAAGCAGCTAGAGATGCAGTGAGACGTATTCATCCTCAACATCTTAGTGTTGTGCCACAGATTTACAAAGCTGAGTGGGTGTAAGATAGTGAATGCTAAATTAATTTCGTAACAAGAATTAATTCTAGCAACGTAAGAAGGATATATAATAAAACAAAGAAAATTCTTTAAAAATGAAAAACGCTCACCGCATGACTGCCGCAATCGTAACAAATTTAAACATCGTCAGTATTGTAGAAACAAAGTCTGTGGTTACAAATTAAAAATTGAAATTGAACATTAATCGGAACATCTGACAGCACATGTTGATTCGAAATTTAGTTGAAATTAACTGTCAATGTTAGAGCGGAAGGTACATGTCGATCAATTTGAATAATAATAAACAAATTACAGCTTATTAAGCATCACTATGTAACCGTGATTTAAAGACTCTGTGTGTCCGTTTGCAAATTTAATCCATTCGATTGGCGCTTGATACCCAGACAGCACAGAATATTTATGATAAATATTTATTAATATTCATTTTTTGAAATATTATATAGATATTTCATACATATTTTATATAATATTTTCGTTGAGCCACTCTGTATTTAATTGACAAGTAAGAATAACTATTCAAAAGTCGAATAACTCATTAATAACTACAATAAGGATAATTTTATACACTGATATATAACAAATACATGTATACGCATATGAGATTATAACAAACATATATTCAATATTAATTATATATAAACACAACATCTTCGATGTTCCATATTAGAAAAATCTTACATCATTATTTAAAATTTTATCATTTCTAACAAATAAAGAGAATATTTTTTATGTTTACAGTAATAAAATTTTAATTTCATCAATTTGTATTAATATCTTCATATTAATATGAATTTCTCATACATAAAAAACATTTTGTATTTGTATTAGAAACAGTCCACTGATCAAATTCTTGTTAAATTTTTGTGTAGAATTTTTTGACATTTTTCAGTGTTAAATTAATTTAACATAATGTGATATGTTATTTAAATAGTTTGTGTTAAATCGATATTCAACATTTCTTAATGACAAAATAGTACAATTTATGAATAAGTGAACAAATAACATAAAAGTAATGTGTTTCAAAACGTAAATTCTACATAAATGAATAAAAATGTGTTAATTTAACATATCTTAAATGTTAATTCTACTGAAAAAAATATGCTTCCACTGTTTGCTTACAAATTGTGTCAGTATTACCTTTTTTGTGTTTATTTTCTTAAATAATGTTGTGTGTGTAAAATTTGTGTTACCTTTTAACATATTCATCTTATGTTAAATTAACACATAAATTTGAGTGGACATTTGGGACATGTGAAATGTGTTAAATTTCAATAGTAATAATTTTCCATCGGTGGACTCGTATCTTGTATCCATTTTGTAAAATTTGAATTATTTATCAAGTCAATAACGAGATTTTGCGGTAAGTTCTCAAAATATTTAACATTTAGATATTCTAATGGATTTTTCATTAAATATAATACGTCTATCGATGGCCATGTATTCATTAGTGACAAAGACTCCAGCGAAGTGAATTTATTATCGCTTAAATCCAAATATTTCAAAGATACAAGGGGTTCCGCCCATCCTTTTGGCAAAGAGCTTAACACATTTCTCGACAAATCTAATTCTTCTAGAACAGTAAGATGAACGAAGGCATTAACATAGACTTCATCAATCTGATTTTTTCCCATTAATAATTTCATCAATTTCGGCATATGCACGAAAATATACGACATTATTTTCTTTATATTGTTGTTATTAATATATAAAGTGCTGATATCTGTTTCATTTAACATTTGCGGAATATTCTCGAATTGGTTGATACTTAGATCGAGTGTTTTTAAATTCGGCAAATTTGCAAATGTCTCCGGATGTAGATATTTTATGTAATTTGAGGATAAGTTCAAAAAGAGCAATTCGTTATTGTCTTGGAAAGCATCCGATTCGATAACATTAATCTTGTTTCTAGAAATAGAAAGATAGTGTAGATTCTGCAGACCAATCAACGATAATACGTTGTATTGGTTATATCGTCGAATAATGTTAAATTTATTTTTATCCAAATTCAGTGCGAACAATTTGTTTCCTTTTTCGTTTAAGTTCAAGCTACTAAGCAAATTATCGTGAAGATCAAGAAAGTATAAGTTGTTCGACAGTAGTTGTACAAAATTGGTTCTTGTTATACTGTTTCCGGAGAGATCCAGGATCTTTAACTTGGGGAATGGCATCCAGCTTTGCAAAGTCATCGGTGTCGCATAAGGAAAATGTGATATCGAAACTGGAGTTTCTTGTATAAACTCTAAATCGACAGCACAATTTTCACTTAGAGACAAAATTTCTAAGTTAGGATATTCATCGAAAATCTGTATATATTTAGAAGAATAGCAGCTGCTTGCATTATTTATAAAAAGCACTTGTAACTTATCGTGACTTCCAAAGTTAAGAATTAGATTTCTTTGCCTGTCTAATTTATTGTTCGAAAGAAACAATTGAGTTAAATTAGGTAATTTTTTGAAGGCACCTTTCTCAATTTTCCCAATACTATTGTCCATAAGATTGAGGCAGGTAATTACAGAGCTGCTGATGAAATTTTGATTGATTTCAGAGATCACTGCATTCGAGAAGTTTAGAGACACATCGTCATTACATAAAGATTGAAGCGATTGATCATCCATGTAATTTTCTATGGCAAAGTGAACGTTTGCTTTTGATAATGTAGACCAGCAAACGAAGGTGACGATTATGAAGATAAACTTAGCCATGGTCAATTTCTATAATAAATATAGAAAACATTTGTTTTAGGATTATAAAAAGATGGTTTGTGATTTAAATGTAACATAATAAAATAAACAATATAAAGTCTTATAAGATAATGTGACTACACAACGAATTGGAAATAAATGGCTCTAAATGATTAAGCTGGATCTTTAGTGCTGAAATAATTATTTGTTTAAAAGCTTAGGATGCTCGCACGGAATGTAATGGTGAATTCGATCACTCGCACTAAACTGGATTAGTGCATATTATTATAAAAGCTGGTTTATATAAAATATCAATGCAGTGATACAATATAATCAACTTTGACAATAAAATGATACACATATATTTTGTTAAATAACGTGACAATATCATTAGTAGATAGTTCATTGTTTAAAATATTTATATACTTTTACATTTAACTTTACTAATTTCATGTAAAGCAGCTTTTAGTATGCACTGATCTAGCATAGTGTAAGTGACCGAATTCGCTATAAGAGCTCCAGATTTAATCCCAGCAGGGCTATTCTGTAACTCTTAACGCAAGTTTCGTTAGCGTTATAACATCGTTGCGTAGCTTTTTTATCATGGTAAAAAAGCTGCGCAACGACGTCATAGTTACAGAATAGAGGCCCTGCAGTAGAATTCTGTAACTCGTTATGCAATCGTTATGTGCTCATAACGATAGCCGCGCAGATATTTTATATGGTAAAAAAGCTGCGCAACTGTCGTTATGAACTCATAACAACTGCATAACGAATTACAGAATTCTGTTGCAGCAGTGGAATATTCATTTAATATTACATTTAATGAAATATTACATTTAATATTCTAAGAATATATGTCTAAAACATTACTTAATATTAAATAATATTATGCGCTTATATAGGGATATTACTGTAGTTTCTTTTAAATTATTAATACTAATAATTAAAACTAATAATTATATAAAAATGTTACTTACCATTTTTTTAAATATTGTCTTCGAAAGATGCAAACTCTAAGTTATTTCTGGTGTACCTTCTACAAGGACTGTATTTTGAATACTGCAACGAACAGTTATGCTAACTGATTGTGAGATCTGTTATCATGAATCGTGAGCAAAGTGTGGGGACAAATTTGATATAATTCCTTTATATCATATTTCAATTCCAGGAAATGAAATGATATACGTATACACTTTAGACTCAGTGGCGTAACTTCAAAATTCAGGGCCTCGTTTGCTTACAGATCGATTGCCTACAGTTCGTTTTCCTCTTACATCACTTTTGCTGACAGTTCGTTTGCGCATAAAAATTATTGCCTATAATATGGATGGGACCCCAGGGACCCAAGTATGTACATCAAGGGTAAAAAAAATGTGTATAGCTAGGGTTAAGTTTTATTAAGTCGTTTCTAATAAATTTTTTTAGCTGTCCGTAAAAATAGCATATCCCCTATATAAGCGCATAATATTATTTAATATGAAGTAATATTTTAATATATCATCTCATATTCTTAGATTAAATGTAAAATTTTAAGAATATTTTACTAAAATTATATAATATTACATGATATTCTCGAAATATTAATGAAAGGTTATATGTTCACTCCTGATAATATTATGATTATTAAAAGTAAAACTTTTATTTAATGTTACTGTGATATCATATAAACATTACAAAGTATTATAACAGCGCATTTACTTTAATAAAACTGTTACATCTGTTCAGTATAAGTATACATTTAAAAACTGAAAATAATTTTGGCGCGCAGTTGTAGAACTGTATATGTACTTAAAATTACGTCGAAACGTTTTTTTTTTTAGCACAAGATGCAGCATAGATTGCTAAGAATTTTTCGTTACTGGATTGTGAATTCAAATTGCACAAAATTAAAAAAAATTATTATTTAGAAGTATTTTAATAATATTTCAGGAATATTAAGATATAATACCTAGGGTATTATATAAGTGGACATATGACCTCTATAAAATACTCTCCTAATATTAAAAAAATATTTATGATATTCTCGAAATATTATAATAACATTATTTAAATTTTTTTTTTTTAATAATATCCATATAACATTCTAGAACATTTTGCGCTTATAGAGTCATGTTAAGTTTTTGAAAAAACATCACGATCAAAGTTGTTAAAATAGGCGCTTTTATTACTTTTGCGTTAATTATATCTTTCTTTTATATAGAGACATACTGGTAAAACTCATAGAATATCAAGGCAAATAGTAATGGACAATGTAATTGAAAATAAAATTAAGTTTCACAAGCCCCAACGACCCTTGGGCCCGGGGATGCAACCCCCTCTGCTTCCCGATATAGTTACGCCACTGCTTTAGACTTACAAAGTTGAAGTAAATACCGGAAACGCGATAACGTATCTGAATCTCCCAGACAGCACAGAATATTTATGATAAATATTTATTAATATTCATTTTTTGAAATGTCATATAGATATTTCTTTTGTCATATACATATTTTATATAAAGCTTTATTCGAAATATTATTAAAATATAAACCAAATATTTTATGTAATATTTATGATAAATATAAATATTTATAAAAAAGTACTTTTACTTAGATTATAATGTATTATTAAGCATTTTCATAGCATTTACTATAACATTTACAATAAATATTTCATATTATTTAAAATAAATGTTTATGATCTGTGCAATCTAATACCACAAAAATATTTACAAAATTTAAAATAAATCTTACAAATATTTATAAATATTTTGTAAATATTTTATAAATATTGTGTGCTGTCTGGGATATAAGCTATCTGAGCCGAATAAGGCTTCTCTACTGAAAAAAATCATTCAATCAGTATGAATAAAAAACGAAAATATTCGGCCAATCTTAAACTATAACAAGAATTTTATTTTATTTTGATCTATATTGTTATTGATAGTGAAAACATTATTATAATGAAGGCGCGTCCGCGGCGTCTTAAGTAATAAAGTTTTCACTGTCAATAACAGTATAGATCAAAATAAAATAAAATTCTTGTTATAGTTTAAGATTTTGACCAGTTTTGCTAATATTAAATTCGTAACTGTGGATGAATGGATCTAGGAATAGTAGGTATTGTTTCTTGTTAGAATTTAAATAATTTGCAATATGTAGTTGTATAAATCAGAAATCACTAAATACATGTATTGCATTGGCCACAAATGTTTTTATTTAAGGTAATATGAGAACATAAAATGATAAAAGGTAACTTCATTCTTAATGGAAACAATTTGTTGTAATTAATAAAAAAATATATGTCTAAGTAAAAGATAGAGAACTCTAATTATATCATCATAAAGATTAGTTTACAATAAAAATGTTTAATTTATCTAAATCTATTAAATTTGAATTGTTAAATTTGCTTTTTATATTTTTCAAGGTTTTAGACAGACTGTAATAACATCGAACAATTTTAGAGTATCTTATTTTTTGACTTAATAATATGACAAAACGTGCATGTGAACAGTTTCCGATTATATATACTGTTAATGGAATGCAGAAATGGCACATAGACCGATGCTTATTTTTGACTATACTGCCACACACTTTTTGTAGTTTGGCTCTAGTTTCTTTACACCTTGTTGAAAGCCGCAATATCAATGCTTTGTACATGTTCTTCGACAGTTTGGATCTGTTCTATTAACGAATCTACTGACACTTTGTCGTCTTCTACTACGCACGATATCTGTAGCTTGTGAATTCCAAAGGCGAGCGGTATGAGTTTAGCTACAAAAGAAAGATAAATCTTAATCATAGAGCTCGCATACGATATTAAAAATTGAAAGATATAAAAACTTACAAGCACCCCAAAGGAGACCATCAATGTGGATTTTCCGCACCTCGTTTTCCATTTCTTGCATATCTGTTTCGTCGTCCCACGGTTTGACATCCAGGATGATATTTGATTTAGCTACTAAGGCTGATTCTATAAAATACAAGTCGATTAATGATAATATAATTTGAACAACTCTCTGAGCTCCGTTACATACTTTTAGACTTCTTGGCAGTATATGCAGCAATTCGTTCTTCCCTAATCTTGGCAGCCTCTGAATCGTCTCCCTATCGAATCAAATACAATAAGAATTTTCATCATAGTATGAAAACAGACGGATTTTATAATTCGCGAAAAGGACATTATTACATATTGAATTTATATGAATGTGAAAAAAGTGCTAATATTGGATGAATCAGTACTATGGGAATATCTGGTGTATGTCAAATAATAAATATCATACAATTTTATGTAAATATAAATTTGCATATCTTAGTATTGTATTAATTTAGAAATATCAGTGTGTGGTGTTTAATTATTTCTGTGTCATACGAAATTAAACTTAAACATTCGTCTTATACAAAGAGACCAATTAATATCATTTCTACAGTCTTTGCTCACTTGCCTCTGAATCAGAAGTAAATAGATCAATATCTTCATTGACATCTTTTTTTATGTCCCGCTTCTGCTCTTGTTCTGATTCTTCGGGTTTCGCAGGATAAATTGCTACGTAAGGTATACATGCTTCGAGGCTCTCTACACGCTCTTAAATTTTCACTCGATACGTCAATTTTTCAATGGTACTCTTCAGGTCCTGAATGACTATTCAGAAAGATTTTTAAATCATGATACATATTCTTTTAATTGTATTTGCCAGCATCATTAAGATCGTCTATTGATACAATGAGAAGAAAATCGTTGCAATTTGATATAATTTTTTTGCATTGTCTTACCTCAGATTATCTTTGTACACATTTTCATATTTACATAATGTTTTAAAATGATAATTTAAAAAAAGTATGTAACAATAATTAAAATTTAGATATTATATATAATTAATTCATGCTAAAATTAGTTTAGGTGCAGATATAATTACATAACTTACGTAATAAAAGGAATTATTGTGATAATTAACTTTATTTGCTGGCGCGCGCGCGCGTGTGTGTGTATACATGCTACAAATGTACATCTCATAAAAATATTTAATAGAATTATAAATAAAAAAGAAACACAATAACTGTAATAAAAGTAAATTGTATACTTAAGGAGGTTCTCGCGTTTGATGAAATATAAGACAAAGTCTATAATACATATATATGTAATACAAAAGTTAATATCAATACCTAAAAAAAATTTCATTGACTTTTACCGTATCATTTTGAAGATATTTAATCCTAAATTTATAGAATTTTACATTACAAGTTGAAGGTATAACCTATTCTGTAGTTATTCTCTTTTAAATTGAGACACTTGCGTATAAGACAGCAATTTAAAAATCGTTATAATTATAAAGTAAACACTTAAGTTTGTTTTCGTAAAGTTTCACTTAAACTGACCGTACAGTTTACAAGAAATTTATATTCTTCAATGAAAAAAACCAGAATATATGTCAAATGGACGATGCGTATACATCAAATGAGCATCTTACAATTTTTATTTTGTCATTAAAAAAATATTTAGTAACATATAAAATTAACAATAATTAGTATAATATCATAAAATATTGTTAGTAATCATTTTATTCCATTATTTTAATTGTTTTACATATTATTATGAATAGACTGTTTATTGACTAGGAAGTAGCGCGAGAACCTCCTTAATAATATATTATAATATCACATTACTTGTTTTTTTGATTAATTGTTGATGATTATTTATAGAGAACTTTTTGAGACAAAAACCTAATACTTGCATATACCATAATACTGTAATAGTCATAATATACGTACTATTTCGCAGAACCTGATTTTCTTTTTCAAGTTTGACAATACGAGGAGTAATATCTTGATTTGCGGTTTGAGCAAGTGCTGCAATATCATCCATCTGAAAAATATGTAATGAAAAAAATACGATTTGATACTATAAAAATTATATTTCCTATTGTAAAAGAATTAGTGAGATCAAATAAAAAATAAAAATTTGATTGTTGTATCCAGTCTTATCCACAAAAATTTTAACATTCGATAAAGTATAATGTTCTTATAATTAATGTATTATTGGTTTTAGTAAACTAATCTCAATAATTTATTGTTATTACATTAATATATAGCAACATATAATAAACATTTCACGTGAAAACAAAACATAATAGTTAATAATTAATTTACAAACGTAAAATCCTTTTCATTTTATTTTTCATTCGCAACATTAGTTTTATATTTTAAAATGCCTAAGAAGCGATGAAAGGGGATGTGAGAATAGATTTAAATAAAAATATGAAAATGTTAAATTAGTAAGCGGAATGTAGAAAATTACGTTGTATAAAGGGTGAGCAAAAAGAGTGCAGTACTCACACACTGTAAAGACTGTTTAATATGCTGCCGAGCCTTCGCAACCTCATTGGCCAAACTTCCAACAGGAGGCATTGGGCAAGTGGACTGTTGAGATCCCTGTATCCACCGAGATTAAAAGTAAGCTCACACCCAGATTGATTATTCGAAACTACATGCCATATCTCCACTAAAGTTTATATTAATAATACTAATAAAACAAAATATTAATTAAAGATCCTAATATATACAGATGCATGTACTTAAACAAAATATTTCTTCTTTAAAGATTCCTTTTTTTCTTTTCAATAAAAAACAGAACAATGCAAACTCTCTAAGAGTTGACATAAGCATTACTTTTTGATAATAAAAGTGTTAATTAAATGTTACTAATTTTATCAAAAGAGAAGGCATCTTTTATATATATTTATATACACACAGGGTGTTAGTTAAGTATGTTGCCATACTCAACAGAGAGATTCTTTGATTTATTTCAAATAAAAAAGTCCATATAAACATGTGTCCTAAACGGCTTAGTTTCCGAAATACAGGTGAATGTTCACAAATGTTTGACGAAACAATAAATTGCGTTGGAAATATCTTCCTGCATAAATATGCCTTGCTTCATGTGAGTTACCATTCACACAACCGTAAACAAAGTGACAAAGTCAAAGTCAAAGTCACAAAATCAAAAATAGACTTCAGTTCTGATCTTTGAGCGTGTACGTCAATCTTTGAGAAGAAGGCTCGATGGATGTATCATGGCGCAAGGTGGACATTTTCAACAATTCATCTAATTGTTTTATTTCATCAGAAAAACTGAAGCCTGTGTTTTTGTTTTTCTGTTTTTGACTAGTTCAAGCTGTATTTCTTTTAACTAAACAGATTATTACTACACGTTTAAATTTTTTTATTTCGGAAACTAAGCTGTTTAGGACACATGCTTATATGGACTTTTTTACTTGAAATAAACCAAAGAATCGCTCTGTTGAGTATGGCAACATACTTAACTAACATCCTGTATATACACATGTTTACTTTTACAGAAAATACAAATATAATCATATTTTAAAACTAATATTGAAAATACATTTTTGGATATTTATTAAGTTAGCACACATGTGGAGATAGACATTGCGCGTATTATAGCAGAAGTATTAAGAAGTGAAATAATATTATATTTTTTAATATAAAAATACGGCAGTATACTACAAAAATAAACAGTATTTACAAATCATTAAAGTAAAAACGTTTTTATCATATATAGCATATGTTTTTACAGAGGAAGAAATGCGGCAAATTTGTTGATTATTAACTAAATAAGCATGCAATTAAAAACTCACTGACGTACACAAGTACAAAAAAAATTGTTTACACAAAAAAGAAAGCAGACAATTTTTCCAAAATATTCCTACACACATTTTAATGATAATAGTTATGACATAAATACTATTAAGCAAGTTGTTTCGAAGTTGATAATGTTAGAAGCATTTTTTTTTTAATTTAAATCTATCAGTTTAAATCTATTAACAAAAGTATTAGAATTATTCTTTGTGATTACTCTTTATTATTAAATCAAAATATGTAGATTTTAAACTGCCGTTCGGATCCAGCGATAAACTATAGGTCTCTATATCCAGCGATAAACTATAATCTCATATATCAACATATATGTATCATATATCACTCGCCAACACGCATAGCAAGCGTGATACCAAATTCCTTCCTTCCAAATACCATGTATAATGAAAAAAAGTTGGAAGAGGTCGATATCCAGGAGTAAATGAAGTCAGACTGATGTATAGATCTTAAACCTTTCGCGAATATAACAGATCCTTTTTTGTCACAATTATAAATGTATGATTAAATCACTAATAATGATACATGCATATGCCATGCATTTGTAGCAAACAGAAATGATATAAATGTTACAGTAAACCTCTCAGTGCAAGATGAAAACAAAATGGAACAAAGAAACAGATGCCATTCTTTTAATTGCAAAATGTAGTAGACGCGCTTTTCTATGACAATATAATGAAATAAAATTAACGTAAAATCAAACTGAAAATACAATTTGTTTATGTCGTATCGAGACACACTGAACAGTAACCCACAGATTGCGTTAGAGCATGTACCTGATCGGGCAATTGTTCTTTATTCCTTGCGAATGGCACTGCAGTTTCTTTATTTCCCCCGAGATCGGTTCCTCCATTTCCCCTATTTTTATTTCTCGTATCTTCCTTGTTCCTTTTCTCTTTAGCTTCTTTCGCATTATACTTTTCAGATTTCTCGCTCGGAGAAACATTCTCCTTCTCCTTCGCGTTATCCCTCATGCTATCAAATTTTTCACACATCTTCACGTTTTCTTTATTCTGCATGTTGCACACGTCCGCGGTATTTTTATTGATGACTTTTGCATTCTTTCCTTGGCATTTGGAACGGTTCATATTCGTTTCATTCGACTCATGAGCTAGCTTGTTGTCTTTAGACTTTTCAGTCTTAGATTTCAATGTATTAGTATTGATTAGATCTTGGTACTTGTCAGTTATAGAATTGTCAGATTTAAGCGTACAGCCTCCCGCAATCTTACGAGACACCACCTTGAAACATGTTCCAAGCTATGCAAGTATAGATCAACGTTTTTTTTTTAAATAACGTAAGAAGCAAAAATAAAATCGGTTTTTTTGTGCAACCGATACGTATAATTGCTACTTAACATGTATTATAATTAAACACGTTTATGTAATCATGTAAAGTGTTTAAATATATTGCATATAAGCATTAGATACCATTTGTATAATGTTTGAATTATTGACTAAACGATATAAAAAAAACATGACTTACGATATCAAAAGATTACAATACTATTTTATCAGTTCACCTTAAAAATGTAGGAAAAAACTTGAGATCACACTGAGAAAGAATTTTACATTTCTCATTGTACAAAAATGTTATCGGTACCTTGTGTGAAGTATGAAGAGAGAAAGAGAGCAAAGCTAATTTTGTTATCACCAGATATTCCCGCGTATTTGTGTGTTAGAAATGTTAGTAAGTTATATAATAACACAAACATGATGCATACACAAACATAGGAGAATGATAAATGCGGCACTAGCTATGGATGCTATGATTAGGACTAGTAAATTCACTTGGTAAATTATGAATGTATTATACTTTCTCAAAGGATATGGATTTAAAAAAAAACTTGGTGTTACTTAAAATTCCTGGTTATTAAAGACAAATGATTTACCCAATGATCTATATGTTTAAACATTTTTACTCTATCCCATTCCCTGCCAACAACTCTCTTTATTTATGAGCAGTGGATGATCGCAGCAACAACAATTCCTTACCTTGGCCATTTTCTCAAAATACTGCCGTTCTGCTTTGTCGTAGGATGGCTTATCAAACCATACCTTTTCTTTAGCTAGTGCAGCGGTTGTTATTGTAGCGGTTGTCATCTTTTCGGTATTTTACTTTGAATAAAGCAAAAATGCTACGAATTTCTGCAAACAAGACAAGAGAAGCAGGATAAAAAAGGATTCAATCTACGCATAGACACGGTTCTTCAGGTTTTCCTTGTAAACCGTGATGACTAAAAATTGAGATTAAGATTGGATTGAAATTTAACCAATTCAAATAAAGTTCACTAAACTTGAGATTGGCTTTCTTTCTTTTGATTGATTAAATCCCAATCTAATTTCAATTTCTAGTCTCTGATCATTTTATTGCGTTCAAGAATCAGTTAAGAATAAGGATACTATGAATTATAACATTCATTATATTTTATTATATAAAAATACAAATTTTTATCTGAAGCATAACAGTAATATTATATAATATGCTATATAATAATACATAATTATAAGACTAATATAATCATTAACATTAAAACCACGGGTGTGCCACTTTTGATCCATCTGATAGTTTTTCTGTTTATTTGGACTTGCACGTGGAGCTTTAGATTTTTGTGACTTTTCATAATCATAATTAGTTACAAGTAATTTTACTTTTATGGTGACAATACTTCCTCGTAAAAAGCTGGATTTATCTTGAATCATGATTGGGTTAATTTATATCCGCAGTTCAAGTGTTAATACCATTAAAAATTATCTATTAATTTTCTTTTTAATTCTTAATTTTAAGAATCGTCATTATCATTAAGATACTTAATCCGAGGTTTATTCATAACTTTGCGAACTTAAGAACCTAGCTTTTTTTCATAATGTAGAAATATAATACATTGCCTTTTTCTTATCTTCTAATTTCATCTAGCAACCGATATATTGTTTTTTCTTCATTTTTTGGACATACACACGCATATATATTCTTTGGTTTAAAATGTTGTATAAATTCCTTAAGTTCATTAAAAGAAGCATGCGTGGAGTAACATACATTAAACGTCTTTTCCCTAATCTCATCCCACTCTCCAACTACACTTGTATCACGTCCCTTCCATTTTCGTACTGATGGCACGATAGTTAATATGTCCTGCTGGAGGACATTGGTACGACATTTCATTAGTTTATGCATACAAGCATGTATACGTGCATCCAGTGGATTATTTGTAACATGACATGCCAACTCTGGGATACGAATATAACTGTTGTATACACAGTCCTTAACATGAATGAGTGTTTTCAAAGATTTCGACAGCCTCATGTAGAGAAACTCAGAGCCATATAAAGCGGAACATTCCAGAATAACGACTTTCCTTGGGCTTTCATCTAGCCATTCTTTCACAACTTTACACATTACATTTATACTTTCTATTCTTGTCGGGAGATGAATGAAATCAATTAAAAATGTTGTATCTAAATACACATTATCAAACTTTTTTGGAAATACAGTGAAATCTTTGTAATAATTCAGTGATTTTATTTTACGATAATCACTTGGATTGATTCTAAAATCTCCAGTATATAATATTAATTTATTCGTTTTCTCAAAAATAAACATCACCGAGCCAGGACAATGTCCAGCAGAAATAAACGTTACAAAAAGAATATCAGTCTCTTCGCTGTTACTATTACTTCTATATTCAATACAAACTTTTTCTTCAACTTCGATATCTTTTACATAAGTTTCTACATTACGCAGATTTTTATAATACTTATTTTCTAAGAAAACTTTAGTAATACGACTACAATAAAGATACTTATTATACTGTTTCAAATGATCAAAAAACGCATCGTTCAAGCCTTGCATATGATCAAAATGACAATGGCTAAGGAAATACACAGAAGAATTAATGTTCTCTCGATCAAAACAATCCACCGAGATGCCTGGTATTTCTTTGATAAGCCCAATGAACGTTGACATTCTGATGCATAAAATCTTCCTGTAATGAAGAATCTAGGTATCAACTAAGTCTATGCAAGCATGTGAATGCATAATAAAATAATAATGGAGCAACAAGCCATTAAGAATAAACAAATAATTTATTTCATTAAAAATTGAGTCATATTCAATTAATTTTGTTAAAATATTTAATTAATATTTAGCTTGCAAAAGATGCTCTGAATGACCCGATGGATAAAAATCTTTGATTATATTTGTTTTCACAATTTTTCACAATTTATCTAAGCAAACACTTATATCCTTTACACTGGCGCAAAAATTAAATATTTCATAAATACTGTAACTTTATAAAACAGCTGTTTCCATGATTGAGTTAAGAAATAATGTATGCATGAAGCACAAGTTGGATGATTTAGTTTTAGTAGCTCATAATAGAGAGGCGTTACAGGATATGATGAGCACATTCAAAAGATTTTTAGAAGGGAGAAAACTTGAGTTATGCACAGAAAACACGAAAATAATGATGTGTGGAGGGAATGGGAGAAAAAGGAAAGAGAAATAGAAATGGGGAAATAAGGACTTAGATGAGATGCAGGAATTTAAATATTTAGGCTATATTTTAGACAGAAAGGGGAATTATAAAAAGCATATTAAAGAGTTAAGCAGAAAAGGAAATATGGTAGTAAGAAAGGTGTGGGGTTTAGGAGAAAAGTTATGTAGAAACGCGACTTCAGAAGGAGATGGATGCTATTTAAATATTTGGTACAGAGTGTATAATGGCTTACGGAGTAGAGTTATGGGGATGGGAGGAAAAGGGTGAATTGGAAAAGATAATGCTTGACTATATCGGATGGATGTTCAACTTAGATTTTTGCACTCCTAGATACGTAATTATGAGAGAGTTGGTAATGGATAAACTCAGAGTGGGATGGGGTATAAGGGCAAGAAAATTCGAGGAAAAGATTAAATCAGGTAACACAGGCAAGTTAGTCAGGGAGTGCTGGGAGGAGAAACAAAGCTACGACTGGAACGATAGATATGATATGGAGAGAGAGAGAGCTATTATAATAGAAATGGATGGGGAATAGATTCCAGAGAAGTGATGGGCCACGGGCATGAAAGTTTTGAAAAAGGTTTAATAAGTAGAGAAAAAGATTTACAAAGGCAATGGGAAAAAGAAAGAATTGATAGGTCAAAGTATAATATGAGATATAAAGAGATAAGTATTGAGAATAGGGTATCAAATTATCTAAGGACTGATAACATAGAATAGAATTGAGAAGAGGTGACGAGATAAGAGCATTAATTAAATTAAGGTGTGGAAATATGGAAGAGAAAAATAAGTACTGGTTAGAAAAAGAAGAGAGGGAATATCTTTTCTGTGATAAAGGAGAAGATAATTTGGAACATTATGTCAAAGAATGTGAGGAGGTAAGAGATAGTTTCCAAGAGTTAGGGATAGATAAGGATGAGATTATAAAGAAAGCCTGAGATGAAGATTTAGGGGAATTTAAAGGAAAAGTATTAAAAAAACTTTGGAAGGATAGAGAAAAGGATAAGGATAGGGTGAAGGAAAAAAATGTGTAATTAAAGGATACAAGGAAGGATAGGGAGGAAGAGTATGGGAGATGGAAAGTTATGAAGAGATAATAAGCTAGGATGAAAATAAGCTAGGAGAAATAGGATAAGAATAGGCAATAAATAATAGATTGCGTCAAGGTCATGATAGATTGTCATACAAAGATATAATTATAAGATAACAGAGGATAAAGTGATAAATAAAATATTAAGAAAATTAATGTATGAAAACATGGATGAGGAATGAAAGTGTAAATGAGTTAAGTTTTTTTCTGTAAACCAAATCCCCTTCTTGGCTGTATATGGAAGTATAAATAAATTCTATTCTACTATCAAAAATATAACTATAAAAATAAAATCTGGATTGCTCTAATTATTCCACCTATCTACTTAGGGTGCGTTCTGATTTTCACTGCCAGTGTTGAAACTATACAGTATACGTTACATACGATAGATTTTCAGCACTGGCAGTGAATATCGGAAGGCACCCTTTAAAGGTTAAATTTAGATATGTATATATATTAGTAGATGCAATGAAAAATTGAAATCAAGTGCTCATTCTCTCTGATAACATCATAAAACCTGAAACTGTTATATAAAAAAAGTTTAAATTTCTATTCCACAGTGTATCCAGATTACCGAATCGCCAGTGATTTTGAAAAACCGTCGAATTAGGTACTTTCGTCATATACATGTATCGCTTTTAATTAAAACAGTAAATTGACGATATTATTAGATTCGACAGAATCGCTTTTCTCGAAATTTCGATGATATATATATATATATATATATATGCACAATATATTGTACCACGTGGAGTATTGATCGGTGGATTTGCATGCATTTACGGACTTATATTTTTCGTAAATTAGCCAGATTAGCTAATAGTTGGTTAGCAAGAATCAAGGGAAAATCGATTTCACATGAAGTAATCTGTTAAATTTAAGTTATACCTCGAGCCAGGTCCAGATATCAAATTGGCTCAATGTGTAATTGTTCAGCGGCCAAAATTCCAGCGTACCGAAGGAAAACGAGCAAAATCGTGCCAAACAGGATAGTCAAGTCAGCATCAAGGGTGCCAATGTACTGACGAGACTTCCAATCTTTCCTCAACGTGCAAGAGCAAATTTCCCTAGTAGATATCACGAGCCCGAAGTCATCCAATTATTCCGGATCTACAATACAGTTTTAGGGAGAGTTCACACTTTGACGGAAAAGCAGGAAGCGGAAAAGCAGCAGCCAATCAGAACTCGCCCTGGTAGTCGACAATTTCGGCTTTTTGTACTACTTACTACCAGCGCAAGTTGTGATTAGCTACTGCTTTTCCGTCAAGGTGTGAACGCGCCCTTAAGCTGCCTAAAGCTGGTTCTACATTAGTCGCATCGCAGCGTAGCAAGCATTGCGGTTCAATCGACATCAATGTAGTTCGACTCTGATTGGAGCACAACGCTTGCGACGTGTTGCGACACTGCGATGCGACAAATGCGGGGTCTACAATAGAAGTGGTAGCGGTCGTAGGGTCTTAAGGTGTAGAAAATTGACCAACCACAGTCGAATATGAAAAGAATAATCGACTGTGATTGGTCAATTTTCTACGACTTAAGCCCCTACGACTGCTACGACTTCTATTGTAGACCTCGCATAATGTAGAACCAGCTTAATGCGGGGTCTACAATAGAAGTCGTAGCGGTCGTAGGATCTTAAGTCGTAGAAAATTGACCAATCCCAGTCGATTATTCTTCTCATATTCGACTGTGATTGGTCAATTTTCTACGACTTAAGCCCCTACGACTGCTACGACTTCTATTGTAGACCTCGCATAATGTAGAACCAGCTTAATGCGGGGTCTACAATAGAAGTCGTAGCGGTCGTAGGATCTTAAGTCGTAGAAAATTGACCAATCCCAGTCGATTATTCTTCTCATATTCGACTGTGATTGGTCAATTTTCTACGACTTAAGCCCCTACGACTGCTACGACTTCTATTGTAGACCCCGCATAAGAAATGGACGAATCATAGTCAATTATTCTCTTCGAATTCGATTGTGATTGGTAAAATTTCTTGTGGAAACGCACCCTTACAGAATACGGAAAAAGTTAACAGATTATAGCCTATTATTAGGCCGGAATCAGACTACGCATTGAAGATCGAAATTGAAGATTGAAGATTAAAATTTGACCAGTGAGGACAAAAGAATTTTGGATCCTATTGTTTTGATTGGTCAAATTTCAATCTTTCAATCTTCAATCTCAATATTCAATGCGTAGTCTGATTCCGGCTTAAGCCAACCCTGAGGTAAAAGAAATCAAGACAGAACGCACAGAACACGATTGATGTAAACACCGAGCGTTCGATGGTCGAAAAATGAATATTATTTTGAAAGTGTTACATAAAAGTTAAGCCGGTGGTATACGATGCTTGTTTTCTTGCTGGATTACTAGCTAGAATAAATTCTTGCCACCGTATTGGCTACGATGCTGACACTATCAGTACCGCAGCCAATACGATGGCAAGATTCTAATTTAGGAATCCAGCAGGAAAACAAGCATCGTGTGCCGCAGGCTTTAATCATTTCCTGCCGTTGCTTGTCTAATTTAATATACAATTGACAATTGATAAGGTAAAGTAAGCTCAATAAGCGCCATACAAGATACGAGAATGCCACCGAAATGTAAATTTCAAGAAGGTACAGTTTCTTATTCTCTTTGTAGTTGAAGATTCTTTTTTTGTATCTTTGATTTTATGTGAGAATTGAGTTAATATGAATACCGGGGTCTCCTTAACATTTACCATATTATGGTTTATATATTAGGAGAAAAAGTTCTATGTTTTCATGGACCATTGATCTATGAAGCCAAGTGTTTGAAGTCATCTATTACCAAGGAAAAACAAGTTAAATATCTTATTCATTATGCTGGTTGGAATAAAAAGTAAGATTTTTACATATATGTGTGCGTGAACTATATGTAGGATTATTTATATAACGTTTTTGTTGGGCTAATGAAGTTGAACCATATACTGAATTATATATTTGTAAAAAAAAAATAGCTGGGATGAATGGGTTCCTGAGAGTAGAGTGCTCAAATATAATGAGGCAAATGTACAGAAACAAAAAGAGGTTCAGAGAGTGCATTCAAATCAGCAATCTGCTCAGAAGAACAAAAAGGGAAACACAGCGACGAAAACACAGGGTCGAAGGAGTGAAGGAGGTCGAGAAAAAGATGCAGACAGTAGATCGAGCACTCCTGTCGCCGATAAGAGTATGAGTCGTTTTAGTAAGAGTACAAGTAGCTCAGTAATGCCTTCATCTTCTCACGAGTCTGTGTCTGAACCACCGCGTAAAAAACGAAGGTTTGTTATATAATATCTAATGTCTTTTTACAATTGTGTATTACAGTTTATTGAAAGAATCCTTTTTTTTTTTTAGTCGGTTAGAGCCGTCTGGTGAGACTGAAGAATATCTTACGAAAATAGAGGTTAAAATAAAG